TGTGTAGCTTACCTTGCGGTCTGTTTTTTTCTCATTGTTGAAGGCCACACGACGACCACAGGCACAAGAAAGATTGTGACTGAAAAACAAGTACCTTTACTTTATTAACATATATATATATATATATATGATCTTTTGAAAGAAAAACAAGTGCCTGCATGTGAAGAAGACCTATAGAACTTTATTTATATCTACGTGATTTTGTCTCATGGTTGGCAATCTATCTATCTAGGTGGTTTTTGACGACCTTGACTGGCTGTTAAGCCCTCGCACGGTTGACAATCTTACCGCATCTTCTTATTTTTATATAAATGCCCAGTACATATTTATTTTGTTTCATAGCGCAATTAATCATTTTACAGCCTTCTTTCCATTTTCAAAATCCGAATATTGTGGTTTCTTTTTTTCAAAATAAGAGAAAACTCACACCCCCCCCCCCCCCCAAAAAAAAACCCAACAACAACATAAAAACAAAAAAATCAACGTAAAGATGAATAAAGAGACAGGGGGGTGGGGGTGGAGGGGTTCCGGGGTTGGAACCCCTCTTGTTTTTTGACGATCAATGCATTTGAATGGGGACATAAAGTTGGAACCCCCCCCCTTTTCATTAATGGCTGGATCCGCCCCTGAGAGACCTCTTTTTTCTATTATAAAGATAAATTTTGATTTTTATTGTTTATACAGAGAAAAGATTATGATACCTCAAAGAGGTCGCCGAAGAAGACACCCTCCCCATATTTGTAATTATCGATAAGAATCATAAATTAAGCCCTGCAGCTTCACAGTGGCAGTGCGCATGCACAAATTTGTGGGGTTTTCCAGAATTTGAAAGTGACAATATTTCTGTGTGTGTTTATACTTATCCACTTTTGTGTATTTTTTTTTATCTTCAATTACAATTAGTGTTTTAGTAATTTGGATATTTATTCGATCACATCAAACTTTCATTATTCATCATGTAAGTATTTTTTTAATCATATTATATACTAGTTTGAAGCAGCAAATAACCAACCGCAAAAGCCAAAACATGACGGGTATCCCTGACCATGTCACAGTTCAAAGTTCTCTAGCGTTGTGTATACGTTTACGTTTAACTTCTTTCCCGTCATCGACGTGACTGTCAGACGCTGCAGACGTACCAACAATGGCAACATGACCAAAGATAAACTGGACATATTCACTGATAATAATTGATAACCACATAATTTAATGTAAGTAGGGGCGTAGCTACCTTCTAAATGAAGTGGAATCACAAACTAAAGGGCGAGGGTTCTGGGGGCCGCCTAAGGCCCCCAGTATGTCCAGGGCTTTTGCCCCCCCCCCCCTCTACAAGACAGAGGGCAATGAATTTCTAATTTTACGCAGTTAGGAATTGTCGAAGTTGAAATTAATGAACTTTTTCATAGGGAATGGTACTTTGATCACGATCTTTTTCATGATCTGCGTTTATCCAGCTAATCAACAAATACTGTGTGCATTCGACCAGTTGTATGACAATATCTAGATGATAACAGTGAAGATACGTGTATTAAAAGTTTGGTGTATCTTTCGAACAAGAATCAGCAGTTTAGTGTCCGACTCGGACAGAAAATTCGTTATAAAATTGAATGACCAAATAGTCCAGTAAAACGAGTTAGAATTAACAATTTATTTAAATGCTTTAACAATCAACCATTCGTATAGCCGGTCCATATAGAAACGACTTCCAATTATCGAATCTATATATATACAAGATGTTTTTTTGTTAAATAGATGAAAACGTAATACATGTACTGGAAAATATGTACTTTTTTTTTTATAATAACAGCAGTTCCAACTTCTCATCTGCTAGTATACGGAAACTATTGATTGATTGAATTGTTATTAATGTCCGGTAGCAAATATTAAATGCACACCAGGTCAAGAATACGTTGACGTGATGTGAAAATGAACTATTCGTGTTGTCAAGACCTACATACTTGGTCAATTTTGAACTAGTTCACAAGGTAACAGTCATTATTCCCGGATAGATACGAGTTGAAGAGTCTTAGTTCTAGTACGATGTGTGCTATGGGGCGAAGCGGAAAATAAAAATTTGCAAGTTTTTTTGTTAACCCTAAAGGGATTATGTTTTTTTTTTGCATTCAAAGCGAGTCTACGTTATGGTGGTGGTACCGACAACTATGTAGCAGGTATTTTCTAAACAATGCCCGTAATATAAACAGTTTACACCAGTTGTATGTATTTATGGTACACATACATATCTTACATGATTACAAATTTCGCTGCATGTGTATTCCTCTTGCTTTTATTCTTTGTGCTGTTTTTAAAATGCATACATAGAAAGACCAATTCCTGTATATGTTAACTTTGTCCCCCTCTTTCTCTCTTTTTTTTTTTTTCTTTTTTTCTCTTTTTTTTTGTGTGAAAACGACGTGGATGCACGTGCTGCCGTGCCTCTGGGTAGCTACGCCCCTGGTAAGCACAGTTTTTTTTCTCTCAGATGCTTATGTCGATTCATCCATACACCAGTCCAGCCTTGGTCGTTTCGGCCATTATACTTTTTTCCTAAATGTTCTATCAATTATTTGAATTAAAAATAATAGGAAAGTAATTATTTCTGTATATGTGATATTGATTTTTTTAATGAAGATATGTATGATGCACAGTACAGAAAATGTCACATGCACCATTTCCATGCCTTTTATACGACATCGCTATTTGGAAATCTGTCCCGTTTGACCTGAGTATCTGCCCCGCTTGAACTATTGACATCATACAACATTCACTTTTCCATCGTGGCGTCATATATTTTGGATTATGACGTCAAAATTTTACGAGAACCTTTGTGATGTACAGTAATGGGGGACAAATAGTGATAAGGTCATGAAGGTGTATTAGCTCAGCTGGCACGAAGGGCCAAGTGAGCTTTTCTCTTCACTTGGTGTCCGTCGTTGTCGTTAACCTTTTTACATTTTGAACATCTTCTAGAGAACCACTAAATGGAATGAAACCAAACATGGCATGAATGTTCCTTATGAGGTGCTGACCAAGTGTTGTTACTTTGTAGCTGATCCATAATACAAAATGGCTGCCAGCGGGGGACTTCGTTTAACATAGGACCCTATGGACAATACATATAAATGTCTTCTTTTAGAGAACCACTAAATGGAATGAAACCAAACATGGCATGCATGTCCCTAATGAGGTGCTGGCCAAGAGTTGTCACTTTGTAGCCAATCAATCATCCAAGATGGCTGCCAGTGGGGATCTCAGTTTAACAAAGGAACCTTTGTGAAATACATACAAAAGTCTTCTTTTGAAGAACCACTGAATGGAATGAAACCAAACATGGTATGAATGTTTCTTTTGAGGTACTGACCAAGTGTTGTTACTTTGTAGCTGATTTGTCATTGTCCTTGTAAAGTCACTTACTACAATTTCAATGAATTAATTGGTAATTTCTATAAACTTTACAAAAGTCTTGCTTTTGATTAGATTACAGGACCAATATTAAACCAAATTTGGCCTCAATCATTATTAAGGTATCTGTTATGATTTTAATCTGTTTTTACATGATTTCCAAAACCAAAGTAGAATCAGGTGAGCGACACAGGCTCTTGGGAGCCTCTAGTATCTGACTATGCAGGATGGATTTTGCTCATTGTTGATGGCCGTACCATGTCCTATGGTTGCATCTTTTGCAATCATACCACATCTTCTTACTTGTATAAGCTTGTGATCAGCTTGGGACTCTGACATAAATACACCATATATATAGTATCAAACAAGAGACTGAACAAGGTTTAATAAAGGAAAGTCATCTTTTTTTTTAAATAGACCAATAGCAAAATTCGTAAATTTGTAAGAAAAATATAAATAAATTGCTTCGCTGAGCACAGCTGGATATGCCCGCAGAGGTCCAACCCTGAACAGTTGGGGCAAATATGGACACAATATTCAAGCTTGATACAGGTCTGAATTTGGATTGTAATTAAATATTTGACATACATGACATATTAAAGATTTCTTGCTGTTGTGCAATACACTGTGCTGTTGCGCAATACTTAGTAAATCTGTTGTCAGACTACAAACAAATAAAGTTCAATTTCTTCTCAATGTCATATTTGAAATTTATGAAAATCAATAGGGAGATTGCATCAATAGCTATAAATAATTCACCAAAGCTTCATGAGAACTGCTGAAAGCATTTTTGAGTTATTCTTCAAAAATTGGAAAATCTCCCCTTTTTTAATGAATAAAACCCCATAACTCAGAAATTAAAAATTTAAAATTTATAAAATTCTAAATGGAGCTTACATCAACAGATATAAACAATTCACCAAAGTTTCATGAGAACTGCTAAAAGCATTTTTTAGTTATTGTCCGAAAACTGAAAAATCCCCCTTTTTATACAACCGCAAAAAAAATTTGTGGTCGTATATTGGTATGACGTTGGCGTCGTCGTCGTCCGAAGACACATTGGTTTTCGCACTCTAACTTTAGTTTAAGTGAATGGATCTTTATGAAATTTTACCATAAAGTTCAATACCACAAAAGGAAGGTTGGGATTGAGTTTGGGGGTAATGGTACCAACAGTTAAGGAATTAGGGGCCAAAAATAAGCATTTTTGTAACTTCCAGACATAACTTGTGTGTAAATTAATGGATCTCTCTGACATTGTACCACAGGGTTCCATATCACAAAGGGAATGCTGGGATTGATTTTGGGGGTAATTACCTCAAACTTTTGGGAATTAGGGGCCAAAAAAGGGAAAAAAAACAAGCATTTTTCTAGTTTCATGACAATAACTTGTGTGTAAGTGTATAGATCTCTCTGAAATTGTACTGCAAGGTACCATACTACAAAGGGAAGGCTGGGATTGATTTTGGGGGTAATTGCCTCAAAATTTTAGGAATTAGGGGACAAAAAGGGGCAAAAATCAAGCATTTTTCTAGTTTCAGGACAATAACTTGTGTGTAAGTGTATGGATCTTTATGAAATTGTACTACAAGGTTCCATATCACAAGGAAATGCTGGGATTGATTTTGGGGGTAATTGCCTCAAAATTTTAGGAATTAGGGGACAAAAAGGGGCAAAAATCAAGCATTTTTCTAGTTTCATGACAATAACTTGTGTGTAAGTGTATGGATCTTTCTGAAATTGTACTACAAGGTTCCATATCATAAAGGGAAAGCTGGAATTGAGTTTGGGGGTAATTGCTCAAAACGCTCAAAAGCAAATAATAATGATATGGTTTGAATAGCTCAATTAATAAGTTATAAGTTCTTAGACCACATTCATTCTGTGTCAGAAACCTATGCTGTGTCAAATATTCAATCACAATCCAAATTCAGTGTGTATCAAGCTTGAATGTTGTGTCCATACTTGCCCCAACTGTTCAGGGTTGGACCTCTGCGGTGGTATCAAGCTGCGCCCAGCGGAGCATTTTATTTTATGAATAAAACCCTTTAACTCGGAAACGTAAAATCTAAAATTTATAAAAATCGAAAGGGAGCTCATGTCAATAGATATAAACAATTCACCAAAATTTCTTGCAAGTTGGGGAAAGCATTCTTGAGTTATTGTCGGAAAACTGGAAAATCCCCCCTTTTTTAATGAATAAAACCCCAAAAATCAGAAACAGTAAATCTGAAATTTATAACAAATGAAAGGGAGCTCACGTCAATAGATATAAACAATTCACCAAAGTTTCATGCATAATGGTCAGATGGTTAAAGCTTTTTTGAGTTAATGTCCGACATGTTGACGATGGACGGACAGACGGACGATACCATAATACATTGTACGTCCCGTAAACGGGCGAATAAAAATTTAAACCAGTTCTTTATGTGCACCAAAATTATATGTTTGACATAAAGACTGTACTTGTAAGATTTAGGTTAAAAAATGGTATCAGTTATTTCTGGTCAGGACAAGTTCCTGATGTCATGGATGTACAGCTTATCTAAAACAAAATTCAACATGATTTCTTATTACAACAATTGTAACTTCTTTACAATGTAATTAGAAAGTAAGAGAATAGTCAATTCAATCTGTCTTGCTAAATGATTTTTCTTGACACTTTTTACCCAAGATTATTTAAGAATTATCATGATTATAGAGTAATTCAGTTATTCACATTAAAGTTAATATAAACATGTTAAAAGTTAGCTTTTCGTTCAGAAATTAAAAAAAAGTGTAATCAGGTGTCTAATAGGTTACTTTTTTTGTGAGATTGTACATTAAAAATAGATATCACTACTGATTTTCTATACATTCCATTAAAAAACAGTCTTAAAGTTACTGAAAAAATATGTCAGGAGTGTATCAAAAGGATCAAAAACATATATGTATTTTTTAAAAGAAGAAAGCTTAAAATTGACCATGTTGAGTGTGAAATTTTCAGAGGATGTAATGACATGAATGAGATCATATTTGTTTGATTTCTTATAATTTTTATATAAAGTTTAAGCTTTTGCAATGAGATATACAAACTTTTGTTATTAGATATGAAAGAATACACTGAAAATTGGTGAAATTTACATATATATACATGATATATTTAAAAAAAAAATCCCTCAGTGTACATGGTGTAAGAGAAAAAAAAATGATTCAACTATATCATGTATATAGCTATTACCATGATTACCTTTAATTTAACAAATAAAAAAATTTCTTTGATATATTTTTTTTTTTTTTGTGCATTAACCTCTGGAAGTTTTGTAAACTTGAATGTCTATTGATTATAGTCATGATAGTAGGATGGTAAAAAATAGATTTGCAAGGACTTGATTTTTTACCGTGTTTGTCACACTTTGTAATCATTTTTAGCTCACCTGGCCCAAAGGGCCAAGTGAGCTTTTCTCATCACTTGGCATCCGGCGTCCGTCATGGTCGTTGTTAACTTCTTACATTTTGAACTTCTTCTAGAGAATCACTGAATAGAATGAAACCAAACATGGCATGAATGTTCCTTATGAGGTGCTGACCAAGTGTTGTTACTTTGTAGCCGATCCATCATCCAAGATGGCCGCCAGCTGGGGACTTTGTTCAACATAGGACCCTACGGACATGATGGACAATACATACAAATGTCTTCTTTTAGAGAACCACTGAATGGAATGAAACTAAACATGGCATGAATGTTCCTTATGAGGTGCTGACCAAGGTTACTTTGTAGCCGATCCATCATCCAAGACAGCCGCCAGTGGGGGACTTCGTTTGACATAGGACCCAATGGACAATACATACAAATGTCTTCTTTTAGAGAACCACTAAATGGAATAAAACCAAACATGGCATGAAATAGCTTCTCTACATCACTCCAAAGCAATTGCTCAGACATACATCATGGTTAATTACAATGTCTTTTAAGTTATTGTAAGGAATAATGATCAGAGCATGTAATGAGGTTCTGCGCAAACTTCCCAGTAATTCCCAAGTGTCTCATATTATAAGTTACATGCCTTTAATAACTATAAGCCTTGTTATTACAGCTAAGTTTATTCATTAAAAGCCTTGTCTCATTGATTTACTATGGTTAATGAAAAATTTATTAAATATAATTCAAAGATTAGTAATCAAGGCTATGCATTTAGTTCTGCGCAAAGCTTCAAGAGTACCCTAGAGCCCACTAAAAAAAATATTTATTATTTATTTTACAAATAACAAACATATATATGTTATTAGAGATTTAGAAAATTTAAGGATTAAAGAGTAGACAACTCATGAAAGTATCTGTAATAACCCTATAGAGTTATGGATATACCTGACTGTTTTGTAAACTTGAACGTACGACTTTTTAAACTGTCCACAGAACTGTCAGTCATATATGTCTATAAACATGCTTGCATTTGCTAATCAATCAAAAAGGGTGGACCTGATTTTTACGTATATTATTTTGGAAATAATTCATAAGGATATATATACATATACTGCATTTTCTGGCATTGAAGCTATTTTGAATATTTGAGGTGTTAGTCGAAGGACCATGTAAGCTATTGTCAACAATAAGCGCCAGTAGTCCGCCCGTCCACAATTCACATTTTAATTTTCTCCTCTGAAACCACTGGGCCAATTCGGACCAAACTTGGCAGGGATGATCCTTGGTAGGAGGGGATTTATGTTTTTTTTTGTCTCAAGTGGTGGTCAATAGGTCTATGGGGCCTAAGAACTTGAGGTTAACTTAAAAGTTTTAATATAGGCTTCAAAGGAAGGGGAAAGCTTTAAAAAACGTAAGAACCAGTAGTAGCAAGGCAGTCATATTGTCTGACTCATCAGAAGGACATGATGTTTCAAGTTTATATAAATGAAAGTCTTTGGGTCCATGGGGTCCGAGCAACTGGGGTCCATAGTTTAAACATTAGCTTTAGTTTGAAAATTCTGTAAAAGTCTTGTTCTTATGAATCAACAGTAGCAATGCAGTCATATTTTGCATGAAACATCAAAAAGATATGAAAATATTCAACTTTGAACAATGAAAAATATTACACGAACCAGCAACGATGAGGCAGTCATGTTTTGCATGAAGCATGAATAGGACATACAGATTCAAATTTATATAAATCAATGCCCAGTGATCTGTGGGTACCAGCATTTATGAGGACAAGGCTTATAATAGTCATCAATGTACAAAAGCTTTAAAAATATTCTTTAGAACCAACAATGATAATGCAGTCATATCTTGAATGAAGCACAAGTAGGATATGGAGATCTGGGATGCAAGCAGTGGAAGTCCAAAGATTAAAATAAACTCTTAATTGGGAAAAAACGCTATCAAAATCCTCTCTAGAACCAGCAATGACATGGCAGTTATATTTTGCATTTAGCATCACTTCTTTTACTTTTTCCTTTGATGTTGTAAAATATAAATTTATTGAAACTGATTTAATCAAAATATTTTATAATGATCAAAAGCCTTCGACCTCGACCTGAATATTAATGCCATCAATTACTTATCAATTATGGACGTTTGACGAGGTCAATTCGTTGTTATATGGACCTGTTGAAGCTATGTCGACAAAGAACGTAATCTGAGGTTGATATTTTGATTTAGCAGGTCCATATAACAACGCTTTGGTCGAGATAAAAGTCCTTTATATTTATATTACATGTAATATATCATGTATATGTATACGTAAGAATAAATAATAAACATAAGATGTGTGACGTTCTCTATTATGTCCTGTCATATATATGGGTTATTGTATGAAGAAGGCCGGTAAGAGAATATCATCGTCTATGATGCAGAAATACGAAATAAATATAAAAGTTTTGCAACTGATACAATTGTTATGTCGGCTAGATAAGTACTGATATTCAGAGATCAATGTGTGCATTTTTTTTTGCGAATCAAAATTTGCGTTTAATATTTGTATTGCGATTTCAGTAAATGTTAAATAAAATGGTTACTGATAAAATCAAAATACTAGTTTTTAGCTCACCGGGGCCCTTATGTGAGCTTATGCCATCACTTGGCGTCCGTCGTCATCTGTCATCGTCGTCTGTCGTCGTAAACTATTTCAAAAATCTTCTCCTCTGAAACTACTGGGCCAAATACCTTCAAACTTTAAATAAATGTTCCTTAGGGTATCTAGTTTATAAATTGTATCCGAAGTTTTGATCCATCGACAAACATGGCCACCATGGCAAAAAATAGAACATAGGGGTCAAATGCAGTTTTTGGCTTATATCTTAAAAACTAAAGCTTTTAGAGCAAATCTGACATGGTGGTAAAATTGTTCAATTGGTCAAGATCTATCAGCCCTGAAATTTTCAGACAAATCGAACAACCAGTTGTTGGGTTGCTGCCACTAAATTGGTAGTTTTAAGGAAATTTTGCAGTTTTTAGTTATCTTGAATATTATTATAGATAGATATAAACTGTAAACAGCAATAATGTTCAGCAAAGTAAGATCTACAAAAAAGTTAATCAGACCATAATTGTCAATTGACCCCTTAAGGAGTTATTGCCCTTTAAAGACAATTTCACACAATTTGTTCATCAAGTTTGCTAACATTTAAAAATCTTCTCCTCTGAAACTACTATGCCAATAACCTTCAAACTTTTACTAAATGTTTCTTAGGGTATCTTGTTTTTAATATGTATCCGAAGTTTTGATCCATTGACAAACATGGCTGCCATGGCTAAAAATAGAACATAAGGGTCAAAT